AACTCACAGCAACCTTAAACTCTTGGACTCAAGTGATTCTCAGCTTCCTGTGTAGATGGGACTACAGGTGCCTGCTACAACACTCAGCTAGTTTTTGTTTTTCTATTTAGTAGCAATGGGGTTTCACTCTTGCTCAGGCTGATCTCGAACGCCTGAGCTGAAGCTATCCACCCATCCTAGCTTCCCAGAGTACTAGGATTATAGGTATGAGCCCTTGTGCCTGGCTAATTTCTATTTTTTAAAATTTGTTGAGGCTTGATTTGTGACCTAGCATATGGTTGATCTTGAAGAATGGTCCATGAGCTGATGAGCAGAATGTATATTCAGTAGTATTTGGGGGTGAAATTCTGTTTATGTCTATTAGGCCCGTAGAGTCATGGTTAAGTTCAATGTTCCTTTGTTTACTTTCAATTTGGAGGATCTGTCTAATTCTGTCAGTGGGATGTTGAAGTCCCTGGCTATTAGGGTGTTGTTAATCATATTGTTTAGATCAAGTAGAGTTTGATTTATAAATCTGGGAGCATTTAAGTTGGGTACATAAATATTTAGGATTGAAATGTCTTCTTGTTGAATTGTTCCCTTGACCGGTATGTAGTGTCTGTCTTTATCTTTCTTTACTTTTGTTGCTTTAAAGTTAATTGCATCTTCAATATGGATCAAAACTCCTGCTTTCTTTTGGTTTTAATTCCAACCCTTGACCCTGAGTCTTGTTTGTCCTTGGGATCTACATGTGTTCTTATGGACAGCATATAATTGATTTGTGTGTTTGATCTAGTCAGCCAGCTCATGTGTCTTCAGGGGGAATTCAAGCCATTCACATTTATTAAGAGAATTGATTAGTAGGGTGGTGTTCTGTTAGTCTTGTTGTATAAGGCTCTATTTCCTTATTTTACCACTAGTGCCTGTGTGGAGGCTCGGCTTTGTCCTCTAGTTTCCAGGTATCTTTACTTTGCTGGTGGGTTCATTGTGTTTATCTGTGTGTAATACAGATCTGACTACTAATTGTGCATCTGTTCTTGTAGTGGCAGATTTCCTCAACATTTGTTTGTCAATGAAAGATTTGATTCCTCCATCAACCATGAAACTTAAATTTTGAAGGATATAGAATCCCAGGCTTGCAATGGTTTTGTTAGAGAAGATTGAAAGTAGGATCCCATTCTCTCTGACTTGTGAAGTTTCTGCTGAGAAGTCACCTGTTAACTTGATGGGGTTGCCCTTGTAGGTCAGCCACTGCTTACCCAGCTGCTTGTAGAACTTTGTCTTTCATTTGGACTTTGGCCGGGTTACAAAGTGTGTCTGAGAGATGCTTTGTTTCTGTTGAACTGTCCGAGGGTTCATATTCATCTAGTGGGTGTATGACTGAATCTTTAGTGATGCTTGGGAAATGTTCAGCTATGATATCATCAACCAGGGCTCCCTTTCTTTTAGGACTCTCTTCTTCTTTGGGGATACCTTTAATTCGTACTTTTGTACACTTCATATAGTTTTATAACTCTCCAAGAGAGTATTCTTTTTTACTCTCTTCTTTTTGGCCTCTTTAAATAACTGGGTTAGCTAGAGAGCCTTGTCTTCAAGCTCTAATATTCTTTCGTCTCCATGGTTTAATCTGTTGTTAAAAGTCTCTACTATATTTTGAAACTGCCTGAGTGCCTCCTTCAGTTCTTTAAGCTCTGTTATCGTCTTTCTAATTTTATCAGGATTACTGGAGACTTTGTCTTTACTTTTGTTAATTTCTTAGGACATTGTTTTTATATGACTTTTGCTGGTTTTCCACTTTCCCTTCGATTCCCTTCATGCATATTTGCCATCCATAATCTGTATCACATTTCTGTCATTTCTACAATGTCTTTGTAGTTGGAATCTTCTGTGGTAGCTCAGTTGTGATCCCTTGGGAGCGTTGGTCTGTTTTGGTTCTTCATGTTGCCAGAGTTTTTTTGCTGGTTTCTCCTTATGTGCGGTTTCTTTATTTCTTCAACTTTCTTCTCTTTTCATTTGTTCTTCTTTGACTCTAGTTGGGGCTTAAAATGACCTTCACACTGACTCAGTCTGCACAGCAGGTGGTGGTGGTGGAGCATTGCCCAACTTTTGAGGTGCTGAGGTGAGGAGATGCTCTCCAAGGTCCCCTGGTTCCTGCAGGTCACTGGGTGGCAGGGTGCTGCAGAGATACCTGGACCTTCCTTGGAGATTGAAAAATGGAGAAGGGACCCCAGTTTGGTGTCCTGTGCAGGAGCCAAACGGGGTGCCAGATTCCAGAAGCCACTTCCTTCCTTCTGGAGGCATACCTGCATTTCCTTAAAATTTAATGAGCAGGACACTAACAGTCTGGAGCTAATCTTTATGATAATCCTTTTGTCAACAAAGGAATTTAAGCTCAGAGAAATGGAGTGATTTTATTTACATTCACAAAGAGCCAAGACCATAAAAACAAAGGTGGTTTTTTGAGAGAGTGAGTCACACTCTGTTGCCCTGTACAGTGCTCAAACTCTTGGGCTCAAGGGATCTTCTTGCCTCCGTAGCTGGGACTGCAGGTACCCACTAAGATGTCTGGCCTGGCTAGTTTTTCTATTTTTTTTTTTTCTTTTTTAGTAGAGACAGAGTCTAGCTCTTGCTCAGGCTGGTCTCCAACTCCTGCTTGATTTAACAGTTAAACATTCCACTGCTTTGGCCTCTCAGAGTGCTAGGATTAGAGGTGTAAGCCACTTTGCCTCCCACTGGGAATATTCTGTACATAATAAAAGAAAAAGAGGCCTGATGCATAATCCCAGCATTCTGGGAGGCCAACGTGGGTGGATTGCTTGAGCTCACAGGTTAGAGACCAGCGTGAGCAAGAGTGAGATCCTATCTCTAAAAATAGCTGGGCATTGTGATGGGCACCTGTAGTCCCACGTACTTGGAAAGCTAAGGCAAGAGAATTGCTAGAGCCCAAGAGTTTGAGGTTGCTGTGAACTATGACACATGGCACTCTACCAAGGGCGACAAAGTGAGATTCTGCCTCAAAAAAAAAAAAAAAGGAAAAGAAAAAGAATAGCTTGCATTTCATAGAAAACTAGAATATTTGTAAACATAGTTGGCATTCTGTTTTCCTATTTACTAGTGAAGAACTAGCTACATTTTCTGTAATCTTATTTCTTTAGGTCAAGACAAAACTTAAGGCAAATTCTTCAGAAAATACAGTGAGTAAAAATCAGGAAACTACTTCTTCAGTGAAGTCTCATAACCAAGAAATGGCTGTTTTCTCAGAATCTCATCTTCCCCAGCCCAACAGACATCAAGAAATCTGGTCTATCCTAGAAAATGTTTGGATTACAATATATCAGAACAGGTATGGATATGTTTTAAATTTGTTTTTAGAAAAATTGACATTATATAAATTGTACCTGTCTATGGAGTACAGTTTGACATTTTATGTTGTATAACGATCAAATCCGTATCCATCACTTCATGCTTATTTCTGGTCAGAACATTCAGAAGTATCTCTTCTGGCCATTGTGTAACCTGTAATGTGTGCTGCTCTAAACACCAGCACTTATTACAGTTAAGATTGTGACTTTGTACTTGTTGATCAGCCTCTCCCCATCCTTCCTTCCTCAGGCTGTGGTAATCACTATTCTACTCTTGCCTTCTATGAGATGTATTTTTTTTTTTTTTAGATTATACCGAAATGACATTATGCAGCATTGTGAATTTGTATTTATGTGTCTGGTTTATTTCATTTAACATGTCTTCAGGTTCATCCATCTTGCCAAAAATGACGGGATTTCTGGCGGCCCTCGTAGCTCTGTGAGTAGGGTGCTAGCCACAAACACCAAGGCTGGTAGGTTCTAACCTGGCCCAGGCCTACTAAAACGACAATGACAACTGCAATCAGAAAAAAAAATAGCCGGGCATTGTGGTGGGCACCTGTAATCTCAGCTATGTGGGAGGCTGAGGCAGGAGAATTGCTTGAGCCCAAGAGTTAGAGGTTGGGCAGTGCCTGTGGCTCAGTGAGTAGAGTTCTGGCCCCATATATCGAGGGTGGCAGGTTCAAACCTGGCCCTGGCCAAAGTACAACAAAAAATACCTGGGCGTTGTGGCGGACACCTGTAGTTCCAGCGACTCGGGAGGCTGAGGCAAGAGAATTGCCGAAGCCCAAGACCTGGAGGTTGCTGTGAGCTGTGACACCATAGTACTGTACCCAGGGCAACAACAGCTTGATACTCTGTCTCAAAAAAAAAAAAAAAAAAAAAAGACAGGATTTCACTCTGTTTTATGGTTGAAAAGAATTCCATTGTTTGTATATCACATTTTCTTTATCCATTAATGAACATATAAGTTGATTTTGTACTTCAGCTATTGTAAGTAATGCTATAATAAATACAGGAGTGCAGATATTTCTTTGATAAGCAGATTTCCTTTCCTTTGGATATATACCCAGTAGTTGGATTATTGAATCATATGGTAGTTTTATTTTTAATGTTTTAAGGATCATTCATAATTTTTGCTATCATGGTTGTATTAATTCACAATCCTCTTCAACATTTTCTTTTGTGTTTTTGAAAATAGCCATTCTAAATGGAATGAGCTGGTATTGCATTGTGGTTTTCATTTATATTTTTTTAATATAATCATTAGCTATTTGCATTTTTCTTTTGAAAAATCTTTATTTATTTATTATTTATTTATTTTGTCATTTATTTATTTATTTTGTCACCCTCGGTAGAGTGCTATGGTGTCATAGCTCACAGCAACCTCCAGCTCTTGGGTTTAGCTAATTCTCTTGCCTCAGTCTCCTGAGTAGTTGGGACTACAGGCACACACCACAACTCCCGGCTATTTTTTGTTGTAGTTTGGTTGGGACCGGGTTTGAACCTGCCACCCTTGGTACATGAGGTTGGTGCCCGACTCACTGAGCCACAGGTGCCGCTCTGAGAAATCTTTTGAGTTGGTTTTTTTTGTTTCTTTGTTTGTTTTTTGATGGTTAGAGGTAGGTTTCTAATGCCATTCTTGTATTTGTGTATATTTATTTTTCCCAGCTTCATTTATGGAAGAGACTGTATTTTCTCCAATATGTATTTTTGGCACCTCTGTCAGATTGGCTGTGAGGGTGTTAATTTATTTCTGGGCTCTCCATTCTGTTTCATTGGTCTACGTGTCTACTTTATGCCAATACTATGCTGTTTTGGTTACTGTATTTTTGTAGTATATTTTGATGTGTGATGCCTCCTGCTTTGTTCTCTTTGCTGAGAATTGCTTTGGCTATTGGGGTTCTTTTATGGTTCCATATGCATTTTAGGATTGTTTTCTATTGTTTTTGTGAACAATGTCATTGTTATTTTGATAGAGATTGCATTAAATTTGTAGATCACTTTGGGTAATATGATTATTTCAACAATTTTATTTCTTACAGTCCATAAACATGGGATGTTGTTCCATTTATCGTATCCTCAGTTTTTTTCATCACTGTTTTATGGTTTTCAGTGTAGAGATCTTTCACCTCCTTGGCTAAGTTTATTCCTATTTTACTCACTTTATCTGCAGCAATTGTAAATGGAATTGCTTTCTTGATTTCTTTTTCAGATAGTTTGTTATTGGCATATAGAAATACTGCTGATTTTTTATGTTGATTTTGTGTCCTGCAGCTTTATCGAGTTTGTTTATTAATTCTAATAGGTGGAGTCGTAGAGATTTCTGTATATAGAATTATTTTCTCTTAAAGCAGGAACATTTTGACTTCCTTTTTTCCAATTTGGATGCCCTTTATTTCATCTCTTTCCTGATTGCTCTGTCTAGGACTTCCTGCATTATATTGAGTTAAGTAGGGAAGTGGGCATCCTTTTCTTCCATGTGATGTTGCTTGCAGCTTTGTCGTATGTTGCCTTTATTGTACTGAGATACATAATCTTCTATACTTGAGAGTTTTTTATTACAGAAATATGTTGAATTTTGTTAAATGCTCTTCTGTATATATTGAAATGATTATGTGGTTTTGTCTTCCTTTTTGTTAACGTGGCATATCACATTTATTAATTTGCGTTAAGTTGAGCCACTCTTGCTTTTGGGGTTGAATCCCTCTGATCATAGTGAATGATCTTACTGATGAGGACATTTTGTCAAATTGGTATCATAGAAATGGTTATGCATCAATGGGGGGGATGCACATCAGAATTACCTGGATAATTCAAAAAATATATGTATGCCCAAGTGATAGCCCTAGTGATTATGATTTTATAGGGCTAAGCCAAGAGAGTGTCTTTTAAAAAAAAATCCTCTAGAGGCTAGGTGCAGTGGCTCACGCCTATAATCCCAACACTCTGGGAGCCCAAGGTGGGGTGGGCGAGAGGAGTTGCCTGAGCTTACAGGTTCAAGACCAGCCTGAGCCAGAGGGAGATCTCATCTCTAAAAACAGCCGGGCATTGTAGCGGACACCTGTAGTTCCAGCTGCTTGGGAGGCTAAGGCGAGAGAATCACTTGAGCCCAAGGGTTGGAGGTTGCTGTGAGCTATGATGCTATGGGACTCTACTTAGGGTGACAAAGTGAGACTCTGTCTCAAAAAAAAAAAAAAAATCTCTACAGGTGATTCAGATCTGAAACTCTGATGAGAAGTATTGCCTATATGTGTCAAAACCAATGAAAAGTCAGCTAGACAGGCTAAACAAATTAGCAAGATACAAGGCCTTCATAAAATTAAAAATAATTTAAGAGATCAGCCTTTGTTAGGGAAAATTTATGTTAGATGTTTTTGAAGGAAGATAAATACTTTGTTTAAAAAAATACTTCTATTTAGTAGGCATAAACATAAAATACTGTAGTCTTGTAAAATGTAGAGAGGGATCCTTTGTGAGTAGTTCTTTAAATAGACTGCTGTATGGTAGCTTTTTAAAAAAAAGATAAGCTATTTAAAGGACTTTAGATAGCTTTAAAAATAATTTAAAACTACTGACTTTAAAGTAGGTGAATACTCCACTCCCTCTAAAACTTTCCCCCAGACTCATAATCTCTATGTGATTAATTTTCTAAACCAAGGCTTTATCATACAGTTTTGATTCAAGGGACCAGTGTGATTGTTCTTTTGGGTTAAGACTGATTATTTGGTCTAGATTAGCGATTTTCAACTAGTGTGCTGTGAGAGGATTTTAGGTGTGCTGTGAATGTTTTTAAAGATCATTAATTAAATTAATTTTAAAAGAAGTTCAAAGCACAGTAAGTATATTCTTTTTTTTTAAACTCTTTTCTTTCTGGTCAGCATAATATTAAGTGTGCTGCGGAAGTTTAACTATAGGTTCAAGCGTGCCGTGAGATAAAAAAGGTTGGAAAATGCTGGGCTAGATGTTTGTAAGAACAGAAGAGCAATATTAGCACTCCACTTAAACATCTATTCTCAATTGGCTGTTATAACATTGTAGAGTTGGCACTCATTTTTAGTTTTTGGGTATAATTTAAATTTTTTTTCTTATACTTTTATGATTGTGCATGTGCCAAAAAAAAAGGAAAAGGAAAAATGTTTTCCAACAAATTTATAGCATAACTCCTTTATAACATATCAGACCAAAGAATAACTTACACCTGATGTATAAGCTAAAAAAGACAATATTTATAAATTTGTATTTTCATGTAAACAAAAGTTTTGTTTGGTTTTGCCAGTCTTAACATAATTTAAGGTTTTAGTTAATCAGATATTCTGGTTGGCAGAAAGTTACCATATATACCAAGCAGGGATTACCATTTTTAAAATAAAATAGATAAAAACCATATCTAAGATAATTTACTTTTTCTTTCATTTAGAAAACATTTTGAATACTTTATGGGCCTCAGAGTTGACCTATAATACATGTGCATTTGTGTTGGGATACTACAGAGAATTCTGCCTAGGTTCTGGATGATAGACTTTACATAATAGCATTTCACAAAGCAAAAAATGTTTACATTGCCTTATCAATACACATTTATTTAAGCCTGTTTCATTGTTTCTCTTTGTGTACCGAGTCACTATAGAAGTTTTTTTTTCCCTCTTTTTTTGGAGACAGTCTTGCTCTGTTGCTTTGGCTTGCGTGTGGCAGCATCATCATTATTGCTGTCTACAACCTCAAACTCCTGGGCTCCAGTGATCCTCCTGCCTCAGCCTCCCAAGTAGCTGGAACTACAGGTGTGTGTCAACACACCTAGCTAACTTTTGTATTTTTTGTAGAAACGGGATCTCATTCTTGGTCAGGATGGTCTTAAACACCACACCCCACAGGATGCTTCTACTTCTGCCTCTCAGAGTGTTGGTATTACTCTGGGAGGTGTGATCCACCTCACTGGACCTGTAGAACTTTTTCAGCACAATTATGCATGAGTCTTTTC